CCCCTCTGGAAACACACATGCACACACCCCTCAAGACTGGCTTGATAGTACTGTAGGATGTGGGTATGAGGACATTTGTAGTGATCCAATAGAAAGGCTGAAAAGACATCCATATCTGGATCTAGTAAGGCTGGTGTAGGATGGAATTGGCATGACACATTCTGAATGTCATGGAATTTTTTACTTAATCTTCTAGACAGGGTCCAGTTCTGCTGCCTCTTACTGCCTTTTTTTGTCCCCCAACATTTCCTTTGCCCTTAAAGTGAAGGTTTTAGTGGTGTCCTCCATTCACAAAAAGATCCAAACAGGAGGATACAAGTGGAAAAGGATTCACTTATGTTCCAGTCTTCTCTAGTGCTAAGCCCTCCTTTTTTTGAAGGCATGCAGGCAGGATAATGGTGTAATGTTTAATAAATAAATAAATAAATAAATAAATAAATGCACACACCACACATACAAAATGTGTAAGGTTTAAGCAACAGAGAGAAGGAGGCTTTTTGTTGAACTCCAATAATGCTCATTGCTGTGCTGTGTTTGGTTCTCTATAGGTCTCGGCTGCCTTTAGAAGAAAAACCTAAATAAATGTTTTTAAAAATCCATCTCTGACCACTGCAGCTACTCCTCCAAAGCTTGTGTGTGCAAATGGAAAGCTTCTAACCAGAAACTGAGACTGTGGAAATAATTTTCGTGGAAAAATATTATAGTGTTAAACTCTGCCCATGCAACAGATCGCAACAAAACTAAACTAGCTTTTAAGGAGGGACAAAAACACCAGAAAGTTTTGAATGTTGTGCCTGGTTGTGCCTGGTTATATTGACTCAAGCCTTACATTGCCTGGATAGCAAGGAAAATACAGATAACATGAGCAGTGAAACAGGTGCATTCCCATCTGCAAGACCTCTAAATTAATGGTTGTTGTGGGTTTTTCGGGCTCTTTGGCTGTGTTCTGAAGGTTGTTCTTCCTAACGTTTTGCCAGTCTCTGTCGCTGGCATCTTTAGAGGACAGCACTCTGAGCACAGAGCA